GTGTTGGAGGAGGGGGGGAACAATAAATGGAAATCAGCAAGAAGCACACTGAAGGTTAGGATAAACTATATTCTTTATTGAAAAATATTAGTATATATGTGGAATATGTGTTTTTTTTCTTCCTTTTGTTTGTAATAATAATAATTATAATAGTAAAAATCCATGCAACAAAACTAAACAACATAGATTGAAGGCAAGGCCCACCATGCTCCATATAGGGTTAAAAAAAGAACAAAAGCAGCATCCAATGAGCAGACGTGTTGGCTACAGCACATGATTTCAGTACAGCAAGGGTACATCTTTACTACAGAAAGATTACATTGGATTTTCCACTAGTCAATGTAGAAAAAAAAAACATAAACAAAAAAATTATGAATCATAAAATGTGACCATGCACTGAAAAGTACTATTACCAAAACAAATTAAAAACAAAAAGGTAAAGAGAGACCACAACCAAACAATAAAAGACGTTATTACTAATAAAAGGATCTCTTTAGCAGTGCAGGAAAATAGGCATCCCTGTGAAATGGATAGCATTTTGGTTTTATGTTAGTGGGGGGGTAAAAACTGTGATGAACCACCAGTGAGCGTGTTTTCCTGCTTTGTAATTCAAGAATTTACAACTCAGTGTGATTCAAAGCTTGAAATTTGCAAAAAAGAGGGAACGAAAAGATTACACAAAAAAATGGAGACGGTTATGGCAGGTTGCTGTGCGCAGGTGCAGTGTACTTTAAGTCATGACAGAGGGGAAGGGGGGAAAAATGGCATGCATAGGCTTTCAATTTGCATGTATTTAGAATTTTCGGGTTTTTTTTTTTTTTAGTTAAAGGTCACTTTGATAACGTACATTGCACCTTGTGTGGAGAGAAGGAGGATGAGCCGAATTCTGGTGTTCAACGATGCAGTGCAGAACTTGAGATCATGCAAAATGTATCCACTTTACAGGAATTTACAGCATGTTGTCTAACAAGACTGGATGGGAGGTACACAATGATATTCAACTGATAGTCTAGAAAGAAGCTAAAATGTTTTTTTGTTTGTATTTTTACTTAGTGCTACAGCAATTTGACAGGAAAAAAAGACAAATAAAAAAGGTGCGCTAGGTGTTAGCTGTAGTTTTAGTCTGCTTAACATGAACAATCTACGTCTGAACACATCTTGGGAAAAAGGGGGGTTGCTTTTAATACCAATGTCGTCTTCTGATGGAAAGAGGAAATGAAGAAGGGATTCACAATACAGCTAAATGCAGAGAACAGGCAGAGGCCACGCCACACCACACAGCAGCAGATGATCATTAGCTACACAATGGGGGGGACGACAAAGATCTGATAAATGCAGAATGTAGAGCCAGCCTCCATACTATGAAACAGGGAAATAAGAACAGAAATAAAAGCACAATGAAATCACTGATGCCACTGTTGCGAAATTAATGTTACACTGTAGCTTTCATATGCATTGCTATGACCGCATTATTCATGTTTTGTTCTTCAGTCCTGCAGCTTCAAGCAAGGAACTGCTGGTTTGCCAATTAGTCAAAAAACAAATTTGACAAAAGGAAAAAAAATTAACTGATCTGATATCCAGGCACGTATCGATTAGTACCAATTAGCAGTGATAGCAATTAGAGAAATCGCAGTGAAAATCGGCGGCGGCGGCGGATGATCTTCAAATGACATCATCCAGGCACAGATAAGCTGACTGACGGAAAGAGGCTACGTCTATTTTGCGGCATTTTAGCACTACGGGAAAGCGACACTTTCGAGCACAAAAGTGGCTAAAAACACAATCAAACTATAACGAAAAATGCATTACGGTAGACTACTGCCTAAACCAACTGTTTGTGCAGGAATGTGTCTTTTACGAGCCAGGCGTTTCGGACCGCAACACTCCAGGCATGTGGAAGCCTTTGTGAGAAATGTTTCCGTTCCAGGATTTAGCCCGGACCGAGAAGGAGCCAGTTAGCTTATCTGTAGCAAAGGCATTTCTGTCATTTCCAACATTATTATTCCGCGCAAATACAAAAAAACACACCGTTACATCGCTTGGTAAGGGTTTGACAATCTGTAATGTACTCAAAGTGAAGTATTAACGCAGTTCCGATAATTTTGAGACGGTTATTTATTTTTTAAAGCAAGCTAGCATAAGCTAACGCGACGGTGCAACAGCTGCAGTGAATATTAAGATAAACAGGGCACATGTTTTTTTTTTTTTTTTTAATCGACGTGAGTATGAATTAATACCGTACCTCTGTTTCTTACTGAGCCGAAAACGGGAAGAACCAGATATCCTACATGCACTAACACCATCCTGGGATCCTTATGTTATGATTGAGCCGGGTTATTTAGAGAGCTGGAGCAGTAGCAGCCCATGCGGATCTACATTCAGGCGGCTGGTTGTKGCTTGGCTGGCTGGCTAATCTTAACGACTGTTTCTGTCTGCCTCCTCGGCTCAGCTCGGCTGGTTGTTGCTGCTGACAAAAGCAGACATGTCATTTGTTATCCGGAGCAAAAGAGGGCGATGTTGCGGCGCTGCACAGCTACAGCTGGAAATGTCTCAAGGTTAACCTGTCCGAGTCTGTCAATTCATAATCATCTAGAGACATTTACCTCCTGAATTGTCAGTTGTTGTTTTTTTTATTTATTTAAGAAAGAATCGTATCCTGACTCTTTACAATAGATTTATACCCATAAAAGACGAAATTATGAACTAAATAGGCAAACATTTAAAAAAAGCATGATATGATTATTGCTGCTTTTAATGTTCTAAATCCTACAATTCCCATAATGCAACTTGGTAGAGTCACGTTTAGAACTGAGGACATAATTTTAGTGTTAAGGGCCATATTGTTATGGAAGCCCATTTCCGCCACCCTGATAAAAAATAAAACTTGTATCTCATAATTATGACTTAGCCATCTCATTATTATGAGATACTATCTCATAATAATGAGATACAAGTTTCGCTATTATGAGATAGTATCTCATAATTATGAGATAGCTAAGTCATAATTATGAGATGGCTAAGTCATAATTATGAGATGGCTAAGTCATAATTATGAGATACAAGTTTTATTTTTTTTATCAGGGTGGCGGAAATGGGCTTCCATACATATTCCTTTATCTGCTGGCAAAATAATTTGTATGTGGTGCTGCCAGGTCCTCATATCAGTGATAAATTCCACAATATAAATTTCCTGTGGAGAAATGCAAATTCACTCTCTTTGCCAACACATCCCTTTCTGGCTGTGTCAGCATCCTGCCCAAAAAAWTTTTAATCCGCTGGTCCTGAATGTCAGTGTTGGTGACGTACTGTTCTTGCCTGGTGAGTCGTGGATTAAAAAAACAGGAACTTTCCTTGTTGTTGTTCCTTAATTTTGAAATATTTTTTCATCAATTTCAAAATTTCCCTCTGGGATCAATAAAGTATTTTTAATTGAATTGAAATCTTTTTCTCACATAGAACTAAGAAATATTGTGYATGCATTGATCTGTGGCTTTTTAAATAGACATTTTTAATACAAAAGCTTTAAAGGTTTAGATGTGTGAAGCGGTTGCAATGTTTGGTCAGTGCAAATGAAAGTGTTTTCAAAATCTTATTGATAAAAAATGAAATATGTGAACAAAAGGACTTTTGAACATGCTGTATTTTATAGTTAAATTTAAATGTTTGATGTTTACAAACTAAATTATATTTAAGCGTGATGACACATTACTTGTGTATTTAAATTCAATATCTAAAATCTATTGCTTGTGAAAGTTTTAGTGTGATACTAGTTTAAAATGTATTATATAATAACATTTTTAATATTTCTGTACACATTTTTTACACCTCGTACACACACTATGGGAAAAATGTGGTGTGGAAATGTGGCAGTTCATCTGATGGACAGTAGGGGGCGCAGTTGAACAGGAACGCAGGATATTTGACATCCAGTGTTGATTTAGCAGAAGAAGACTTCAGCCATTACATTTACAGGCAGGTCGGAGCCGCTCAGTGGAGGACAGGTCATTAGCAACCCGACAAAATGTTATCCGTAAGAGTTGCAGCAGCTTTGGCCCGAAGCCTGCCCAAAAGAGCCGGATTTGTAAGTATTTAAACTAAACAATCTGCTGCTAATAAAGCTGTAATATACTTTTTGTTGTTATTATTTTTAATATTCATTGTTGGGCGTGTGAAGGATAACGACGCAGGCCGCTAACGCAAATTTGTGTCATCAGCGCGGCTCTAAACATTAACACTCGGTTATATCACAACATATTAGCTGTATTTTTTTTTTTGTTACTTGAACTTGTTTTGTCCAATTTGTCCTTGCGACGACGCGCTACTCGTCCTGCAGATGCTAACAGTTAGCAGCACAGCTAATGCTCAGCTCAATGAGCCACGCTTGAAGGTCAGGAAGTCTGACGGCGCATGTCCTTTTCTGCTGCACCGGCTTTAAAAACGAGCTCAGCTTATTTATCTGTGCGTTATTTGTTCATGCATGCGCTATTTGTCGGAAAGGTCGATTATCAAATGGTTACTGAATCTGCCTGTCCTTAACTCCAGGTGTCCAAGACGATCCCGGCTGCCTGTGTTGGGGTCAGCCACCTCCACACACACAGACCATGTCTGCAGAAGATGGGTGAGACAGACTTTGTCCTACAGAACACGGGGAAACTTTTTCTCAAAGCTTAAAGTTACTGATTTAAAACGAGACAGCATTTTTTTTCTGTAAAATTTTGGCATAAGGACAATTAAAACCTCCAAATTATTTTGTTACGATTAACCTTCATAAAATGTATCTTATACATGTGGTTGATGTTAGTTATTTACAAGATTGTCTAGAATAAAAGCAATTTATTGAAAATGAGGAGTAAACTTGGGTTTAATCACAGTATTTTTGCAGCATCGTAACCAAATTTTTCATTAAACACGTACCGTAGTTATTTATATGTGAGGATGATATTAAAAATGCCAGATCAATGTGCATATTTAAGAGAATGATAAAGGTTAATTTGTTGGAGAAACGTGTATGGGTATAATGTATGCAAGAATGAATTCAACCTTTATTGTTTTTCTTTTTGTTTTTTGTATGTTTTTGTCAGTTGAAGACTATTTTCRATTGAATTTATTTATTTGAGAAAAAGAGGCAGAAAGCAAAACTTTTTCTTTTTCTGCTACCTTTCATTTAATTTATGATTTGTATTTTTATTGTATGTTTTGTTTTAAATGAATAAATTTAATWAATAAATAAAATATGACAGTTTGCTTCTTGTAAATATGAACTTAAGTCAGAAATTACACTCAGATTTTAAAATTTGTTATGAATAAAACCCTGTATTATTCTTTCACAGGCACAGCTGAGGTCTCCTCAATCCTGGAGGAGAAAATCCTKGGTGCTAACACCTCCGCCGACCTGGAGGAGACGGGACGTGTGCTGTCCATTGGTGATGGTATTGCCAGAGTGTACGGCTTGAGGAACGTTCAGGCTGAAGAGATGGTGGAATTCTCCTCTGGTCTCAAAGTATGTTTAAAAGATTTGAAACGGTGTTAAAGTTGGGTTCTTATTTTTGCTTTGTTAAAAGTACCAGTTTGAGTTTATATCCTCCTGTTGTAAAATAAACCAAGACGATAAGCCAACTTTCTCATCCTCCAGGGCATGTCTCTGAACTTGGAGCCYGACAATGTTGGTGTTGTGGTATTCGGTAACGACAAGCTGATCAAGGAGGGCGACATCGTGAAGAGAACCGGTGCCATTGTGGATGTCCCTGTGGGCGAGGAGCTGCTCGGCCGTGTGGTGGACGCTCTGGGAAACGCAATCGACGGAAAGGTTATCTAAACTGTTATTTCTTTCAAACAAAAAGAAAAACACCCAAGTTGGATGAAGATGTTAACTTTCTACTAGAGTTGGGCAATATMRGCAAAAAAAATTAATCACGATTAATTGTGGTATTTAGCCGATAACGATTAATTTGACGATTAATCCCCTGGACACCCTTATGTCTCAGTCACATGACTAATTTAGAGGGAAAGATTTGCTTTTCACAAAAATCTGTTCCAAATTGTGTCAAAATTACACACTTCCGGCTATACATCAAATTTAAATTGTGTTAATAGATAAACAACTTACAGAACTTTGTTTAATGTTCATCATATTGGAAGCGGAGAGGAACACCGAGTGGACTCTTTAATTAATCATATTAATCGTCAAGTGCCAAAAAATAATCGATTGTTTTTCTGACGATTAATTGCACACGATACGATTATGCCCAACCCTATTTTCTACAAACAGGAATGGAAAAGTTAAAAATGTTTAAATGTGAAGTTTATTAGAGCCTCGTGATTTGTATTATCAACCTTGCTTCTCGTGTCAAAGTTGAATTATTTGTTTATTTTTACACAACAAATGGTTTTAAAAAGGTGCATACCTCTTTTTCAGGGTCCTCTTGGCTCTAAGACCCGCAGGCGTGTGGGTCTGAAGGCTCCGGGTATCATCCCTCGTATTTCTGTGCGGGAGCCCATGCAGACTGGAATCAAGGCTGTGGACAGTTTGGTGCCCATTGGCCGAGGCCAGCGTGAGCTGATCATTGGTGACAGGCAGACTGGGTGAATACATTTTTAGAGAAATGATTTACTTGGGAATATTTGTGTCTTTAAAAGTATATTTTAAAGTTGGTAAATTCTGTTAAATTTCACTTCAGCAAAACTGCCATTGCCATCGACACAATTATCAACCAGAAGCGCTTCAACGATGGAACCGATGAGAAGAAGAAGCTGTATTGCATCTACGTCGCCATCGGACAGAAGCGGTCCACCGTGGCTCAGCTGGTGAAGAGGCTGACTGACGCCGATGCCATGAAGTACACCATCGTGGTCTCCGCCACCGCCTCCGACGCCGCTCCTCTGCAGTACCTGGCCCCTTACTCCGGCTGCTCCATGGGAGAGTACTTCAGAGACAACGGCAAGCACGCCCTGATCATCTACGATGATCTGTCCAAGCAGGTCGGGGCTTTTCGCTGCTTCCGTTCCATCGTTCGGGTGTGATTTGTTGTGCTCGGAGTTACGATTTCTCCTCGTCTCCTGCCAGGCTGTAGCCTACCGTCAGATGTCCCTGCTGCTGCGTCGTCCGCCTGGTCGCGAGGCTTACCCAGGTGACGTGTTCTACCTTCACTCCCGTCTCCTGGAGAGAGCCGCCAAGATGAACGACAACTTCGGWGGTGGCTCCCTCACCGCCCTGCCCGTCATCGAGACTCAGGCCGGAGACGTGTCCGCCTACATTCCCACCAACGTCATCTCCATCACAGATGGACAGGTCTGTCTCTTGGCTGTTTGAGTTTTTGAAGTTTGCACYTAAAAATAAACTAATGTTGGGTAATTTATTCTGTTTGCCGCAGATCTTCTTGGAGACTGAGCTGTTCTACAAGGGTATCCGCCCAGCTATTAATGTAGGTCTGTCTGTGTCCAGAGTGGGCTCTGCTGCTCAGACCAGAGCCATGAAGCAGGTAATCTTTAGCTTTTAGATTTAGCCCTCTTTCTTTTTTTTTTCTTTTTTTTACCTTTAACTGAATCAGCAAAAGCTGTAACTGTTTTCCTGTCATAGGTGGCCGGTACCATGAAGCTGGAGTTGGCTCAGTACCGTGAGGTGGCTGCCTTTGCCCAGTTTGGTTCTGATTTGGACGCTGCCACCCAGCAGCTCCTTAACAGAGGTGTCAGGCTCACTGAGCTGCTGAAGCAGGGACAGTACTGTGAGTGTCAAACATCAGGTCTAACACGTATTTAAATAGACGTTCCTAACTGGTACTGAAGTCTGAGTCCACTCCCTTTTAGCTCCYATGGCCATTGAGGAGCAGGTCGCAGTCATCTACGCTGGTGTCAGAGGTCACCTGGACAAGATGGAGCCCAGCAAAATCACAAAGTTTGAGAAGGCTTTCCTGCAACACATCCTCAGTCAGCAACAGGACCTGCTCGCCAGTATCAGGTGAGTTAGGACTTCTCAGTTTTTATCTTGCAAGTAGTGAGATTTAAGCTTGATTCATTGACCCGATCTTTTGTTGAATTGTTTTTTTTTTTTTTTTTAGGGCTGATGGGAAGATTTCAGAAGCATCAGATGCTAAACTGAAGCAGATTGTTCTGAACTTCCTGTCCAGTTTTGAGTAATGAATTGCACTTCTGTTGATCTTCAGTGAGCTACCTGTCAGTGTCCTCATAATGCTTCTAAACGTGAACAGACCGAAGGCCAAAACCTTCATGTACAGATTTCTCCAAATAAAAGATTACCAACCTGGCTGTGCTACTCTTCTAATTGTGTTCGACTGCAGCAGATTAAAAGTGTGACCGACGGTTATAAAACCAGAACAGCTTTAATTGTGTGTTTCTCAGTTTTATTTAGGTGGTCTACATTCAAGAATCGGTACTTGTGTTCAGGTGTTTAAAGGAGCTTTAAATTAATTATAACCCCAGCTGATGAGCTTTGGATGAAATTAAATGTTTGATACTAYAATAAATCCTGTGACAGCGTCACAGATCAAACTGATCTGCTTCTGTCTTCTCTTTAGAGGCTGGATTGAGAAAATAATTTTTTAATGGCTGCTTAGGGGACAAAGGGTTTTAACTAGCTTTTCACAAGACGAAATGAAAAGAAACAAACCCATTTTTTTCAGTCAGAACCTTAAAAATCTGAACTGGCCAGAATCTCAGATGTGACATATAAACCAGGCATCAAAATCTAACTTGCTAATTTAAATTTATTATCAGATTTGATCTTTAAGACTTGTAAACTAAGTTATAGTTATTTACTAATGAGGTTGTTTGTCAGTGTTGTTCATAACCAGTAGGTGGCCACAGTTATCTGTGGGTTATATTTCATCTTAATTTRTGACTTAAATAGATGTGCCAATCGGGTAAGATTTTCAAATCTTTTTAGCTTAACTCTGCTGTTATAATTTCCTTAAGTACTCTGAAATCATACAGCAGTTTAAATTTATTTTATAGGAATGAGAAACTATTTTTTGCCWGAAATTTACTCGATGTAAAGCATGTTGTGCCATGTAATTCAGTGGTTTCTAACCTTTTTTAGACTTGTGTACCCCCTGAGTTCTGTCATACCGCTAGGACCCTCTCTGTCAAAGATGATGATTCTCTGGAACTACAATGTACATCAACTGATTAAATGAAAATTATTTATTTAACCCCCTAGAACATTTAACTCTCTGGCATTTTATTGTCTAATCAAATTAAAGATAAAAACATTGCCTTGAAAGTGACTAAGTAATTAAATAAGCCAGGTAATGGCAGGTGCAGGGAACAGCAGCATCTAAAATACATCAAATACTCGCMCAAATGAGCAAATTCCAAGAGATTCTGCGTTCATTGCTGAAATCAGGGCCCTTCATATCCCAGTCCTATTTTTATCTTTTTTTTTTTTTACACATTAGGAAATTTTTCTATGTACCCCCTGTAATATGCTGGCGTACCCCAAAGGGTACATGTATACCTGGTTGGGAATAATTGATGTAATCTGTATCTAAAACCATTTTTTTCTTCCCAAAATKTTTCTCATTCACTCATAAGTCAGAGCTCTCAGTGTTAAGTTATCCAAGTCTAACACGTTATATAAATTGGATTTACTACATAAAGTAGTGATTTCAGTGACTAATTTCTGTTTTGCAGACTTTGTCCTGAAACTCGTGTTTCTGTCCAGCAGCATCATCAAGTCAGACATGTGACGGAGTGAATGGAGCTGCTTTCAGTGAGGACTATTGTTGATGTCAGCGTGACAATAAGAGAGAGCTCTGTGCTGCAGCAGACAGACCACGAGCAGTTCCTGACAGGCCAAATGCACTTGGAATCATTGATTTGTGATTATTTTATTTTTGATTAATCCTCATTCAAAAAAGAAAACTGCCAAAAAATTCTCAGAGTCCTCAAAATCTAAAACGTGAATTTTCTCACAACAATTCTGAATTTATGAGTGTTTTAGGACTTGGCACAAAAAAAAGGAAATTTGTGTTACATTATTTCTTTGTTTTAACAAAGCTTTTTGGCAATAAATCTTATTACGTTGGAAAGCCTGTTAAGTTCCCTTTTAAATTAGGCCACATTTGTAAGGAACATGCAATTGTGGGATGAGCAGTGGAGTATGTGGATTTGTGCAACTCTTTTCTGCCAGYTTATTTTGCTGTTATTGACTCTTCTTTTGAGTGTCTAGTACCCAATCAGGTACCAGGAATAATATTTGTCAAGAAGYATCGTTACAACAAAAAAATAATCTACCAAACACAAATTTCCTTACTGTTTGTGCTACGTTATTTGATTGTGATGGGGTGAAAGGTCAGTTTCTCTAACGATGTCCATGATGTAAACTGACAAACAGATCAATGCGAGCATGAAATTGAAGCGGTTAGTTGCAATGTGAAGTACTTATACCTGTTTTTTTTTTTTTTATCTAAACCATTTTATGATCAGAGTCACAGGACCACGAAAGATTTCCTTTAGTGGACGTGGTCATAACAAAACTAAGATCCAATGTGGAGCCATAGCCTGATGATATCTTCTGTCCTAAACGTGGAGTTAGATCTTGGACAAATTGTCTTATGGATGGCCAGATGTGGACAAGCTAGGAAACAAAAGGTTTGACATTCCCATGCCACTCACGTGTCAAGGTGGGGGCACAGACATGATTAGGTCACCTGTGACCCTAAAATAAATGAGGGGTCCAGATGTGCAGTTTGACATTTCTACATTAAAGGTATCTGTTTACACAGATGGACATTTAAACATCCCACAATCCGTCTGGTACAGCTGAATAAAGGCAGAGCAGAAAATGTTATTTCAAACCTTTTTTTTCCACAGCATACCTGTGGTTTCTTGTGGTATTTGGAAGGGAATKTGTACAACAGCAAAGCTTGTGGCCTAAAGAACCACATGGACCAAAGAAAGGGACAGTTTACTTCCTGAACAAATTCTTTTAAAACAGAATTCTCTTAGTTTAGCCAACACACAGTTTTAGAGGAATTTCAAACCTCCTCATGGCTGAGCTGTGTGACAACACAAGCTGAATGAAGTTAGAAAGTGATGTAGGACCAGGAGGGAATGGGTCCTTTTAATATAGGAATTGATGTATCAGCTGAAAATACTCACATACAGTATATATAAATTATTCAACTAACTGGAATAACTGCTTACAATAAAATATTAAATTGAACACGATGTAACTTTTTAATCATTTTGTATTTTACACTAATTTTCAAAAAATGTGCAGTTTTGTCTCATTTTCCTCCAAGGAACCAAACATATTCCTTTAAAGTTTTCCCAAAAACTAAAAAACTTTGGGCTGATTTTCTACTCAGTTTAAGTCCATTATTTAACCATTTTCAAATATATATATATATATATATATATAGTAATTTAACTCTGACCTATAAAGCATTCTGCCACAAAAAGGATGAACCATGTTTTGATTATTAGCACTTGTGGTTTCTTGAATCAAAGTCTTGGTTAATCTTGCTTGACGAATGGTGCATTTACTAAACTGCACAGCATTTTTCATAAACAAAACACACAMATCATATCATTTGTATGAAAGTAACAAAAAAAGCGCATTTATTTTTCATTTCAGTTCAGGGACAAACATAAAAGCAACTTCTTATAGACTACAAAACAAAAAAAAAAGCAATAATTCATTGTGTTTACAATAAAAATGACAAATCATCAGCCAACAGCAGCACAAATCTAAGGCAAACATGATATTAAAATTCTGTATATATTATTTTTTTTGGAGTCCATTCTTTATTTTTAAGACGGCTGTTCTTCACAGGTACCAGCGGTCCTCTACAAGCCTGCTTGCAGCTCGTGCACAGACGCTTACTTTATTCTGGCCAAAAAGGAGTTTCATTTATTCAAGAAGGCAAATCAAACTATGTGCTGGCAATGTCTTCTGTAGTGCACTTTTGTTGTCTAGGATCAAATTTTCACAGCTACACCTGGGAGCAGCTAAAGCCTGCAGCGTCAGCTCCATGCAGGTGAAGCGTGTTCGTGATGCGCATCCCGACAGGCAGCAGGTAAAAAAACAAAACAAGGACTTGATGTTCATTTATGGGTTTCACAATCATTTGGAACGGAAGTCCTGCAGATCACTGAGTGTCCTGAGTCAGTCAGTGCTGCCGTAGTGGTTACCACTGCTAGGTTCTTGTAAATTGTGCCCGACGTCTTCCTGTTGTGAGACCACTGGTTTCACCGGCTGTGCGAAGAAATTGGAAACGCAAAACACCTGCGGGGGGAAAAGAAAATTAACACCTTAAATAACATTACGACAGTTTTTGTTGCATGTTTTGACAAAATTGACAATTCACACAACATAACTATTCTAGCAAACATTTTATGATATTCCAGCCAGAAGTGCCTCAGTTTGCACAAGGGCTACAGCTAGCTGCAGATAAATGGGTAGAGGTTTMCAAAATATTTGCAAAAAGTTGTAAAATATTTGAGTCCTGAGACGTTTTAACATGCCGCAATCCACCTAGTCTAACCGTTCGCTCCATMAGAATAAACCATTTCTTTAAACTGAGTTGTTCAAAAAGCGATCTGCAACAGGTAAGATGTTAATTGCTCACAAACATCCCACAGAACCCCAACCCTAAAAATATAATATATTGCTTTAGATTGAGACTAAACAGCTGTGCAACTTAAAAAAATACATTTTAGTCATGATAATTGAAAACTCCAATTTGATATGRAGCAAATGTATTCATTTTAGTGACAAAAAGATCAGATGAGTCCACATTTACCCAGATGCAGACTAATAGGAGCATCAGTGTAATATCTTGGCACKACAAGATCTTTGAAAATGAATTATTGCAACAAAACTGCRTAAAGTTTCTCAAACAACAACAACAACCAGGCAGTACGATATTTTGCAGCACCGTTATTGTAACTACTTGATCTGAAACTCACAGTAAAAACAGCTACGAAACCCCCATTCAAGAGGCCTACAAACACATCGCTCCAGTGATGTTTGTAGTCTGACACCCGGGTGAGACCCACATACACCGCAGTGACAAAAAGGAAGAACTGGATGGTGGGACGCAGAAGCCTGGTCCACTTTGACTTCAGTCTGGCTTGAAGGTACATCTGCAGAAATCACAGAAAAACAATAAGGAAGTTTTTTTTAAGTTAAATACTGTTTTTAGACAACAACAAAGCAGTGAATACGCAATAAAACTTTAAAGAGATCTTCATAAAGTTTGAAGAACTATTGATGAAGTTGATTGTAACAAACTTCCTTTACGTTAAATGCAGTCACAAAGTAAAACAAATAAGTGTAAAATTTCCCACACTAACGTGAACCAAAAAAGCTCAAGTGACAAGCCAATTTAAAAAGAGACATACTTACAATAAGGAACAGCATGCAGTACATAGAGAAGGATGAGTGACCAGAGTAGAAGGATAATCTACGAAAGAAAAGAAAAAAACAAGAAAAATTGGATGAATTTCAGAGCAACTAGATCACCTTTTATCACAAATGAATAAAGTCTGAACCAAAACAAGCTTTCAGAACCAGRATCCAGCATGGTCTATTTGCTTTCCTAAAAGTGCTTTACAGTAAAAACACTAAATAAAAGATAAAAACAATACAATGTTTCTGTTTGCTCCCTGATTGTATGAAGTGGAAACAAAGAAGTAGGAGTCGTGTGACGTGCAGCCAGTCATCACTTCTCTCTGCTATAAGAAAACAAGTTTCAGCTCCATCATGCTGCTTCTTCCACCACATTAGAACAAGGCTTCCATGGTGCAGTTTGTTGCTCTTTTATTGCTTCACCTTGAAATTACTCTGGACTGGTCCAAGTTTTATTTCCTGTGTCCCGTGCCGTTTCTGACTGGCTTTTTTGTGCYAGCTCTCCTGCTGCTGCAGGCTCAGCAGCTCTGCTCCTGCCTCTGCTAAAAAGGAAACTCGCCGTCTGCTCCATCCTTTCCCACCTGCCTCCAACGGCTCTTGTTTGAGTTCTGCGTCTGACTGCTTGTAATAACATGCAAATGACCAGAGTCCAGACAACAGTCACCAAACTGAAAAGCCCACGGCTACACTTTGCCAAACACAGAACACTCTGCTGGTTAGACATAAATAAAAACTTTATTTAAGGTCGCAACAGCAATTGAATGTGTCACCTGATGCTTTTTAATAACATCTCGTGACAGTCAGATTTGTATCAGACATGTGGACGTAATCGGACAGGTATGAAAACAAGTCTTGGGCGAATTCCTGATTTGTTGATAAGAGGAATACGCAACAGCACAGCCAAACTTTCCTCCTCCAGTTCACAGATCACAAGTAGGCAATTTCTCAGTCTGAACCAAATAAACCAGAACTACCGGTATGATGAAAACTGAGGCAAAASAGTGATAATGGCTGTGATATCCTCAAAACACAGCCATAAGACATGGCTTTACTGAGTTGGCGTTACTTCAGTGCAGTTGAATTGTTTCTAACCGTTCCCACGAGTCTGAACATGGGAGGGTGACATTTCCATCTGCTTCTTTTCAGGTTTTGTTTGTTGTACCAAAGAACCGTGACTTTTACGTGTTTGTTGTGGCAATACCTTTCATCTCAATAGCCTTTCATCTCCCMCTCCCTTCCTCCAGAGGATCCCAAAGCATTCCCAGGCCAGAGATGAAATATAATCCAGTCAACAAGGTCTGGAGTTTTCTCAGAGAAACATTCAGAGGCATCCTAATCAAATCCTCCAACTACCTCAGTGGACCCCAACTAAAGCAGAGAAGAAACTCTACTTCTTTATTGTGAATTGAGGCCTGATTTGTTACCCTATCTCCATTGATAGTCCATTGTTTAACCAGTGTGGCTCTGTCATGATTACAAACATTACAAACATCTGACTGATCATCAGTTCAGAAGAKTAAAATGACAAATGGTGATCCCTTTCACGGCTCAGTGCAGCTCAAAATGTTAGCTACCAGCTTGTTTCCAGAAGCAAAACTGCAGTCAAGCCTTTACAACCACCATATAAATGTTATTACCTTCAACCCATCAAAATAAACCCTTGTTGGTCATAATAAAAGATCCTTACCTGGCCTCATCCTCCTGTAACGTGTCACTGCAGGTGAAGTTCTCAACGTAACCGCCTGCTGTGCAGTTGATGCGCTCCCATGCCGGTTTGCACGCAGCCAGGAAGTGCGGCCGCAGACGGCCGATGGAGTATTTAGCGATGTCGGTCAGAGACTGGTTGGCGGCGGCTCCAAACAAGTAGCTCCCCACTGCTTTATAGAGGCACGACACGTACCTCTTCCCCAATAACTGGTTCTTGATTCGAGACAAGTAAACGGAGAGAATCTCTCCGCAGATGATCTGAGATGGATGGAATCAGACAGTCAACAGCCTGTCAAACACTTTGATTGGGAATTAAAAGGTGATAGAATAATTAAAAGGTGTGGTTATGGGTGGGCCTGGCAGGGGTTAGATCCACTCTTTTGACACGTCCCGCCCAAGAAAAGCTTCTTGGCTCAAATTAAATGATCTTGCTAAATAAACGACCACATTTGATTGTGGAATCTTTTTTTTTTTTGTTTTGTGATTTAGACATTGAATAGTTTGTTGGATGTTCTATAAGTTAAGTGATCTAGTTTTCATTTATTTTACAGGCCGTGTTAAATTTGGTGGCCCATCCACTTCCAGTCACCTGTAGACTCSTTTCTGGCTACACCACTGGTTGACTTACGACGATCAGACAGAAAGGGATCATGACTCCTCCCAGCAGCTGGTAGGATATGGTGTCATCTTTCAGAGGGTACCTGATGGACTCGTCGTTACAGAAGAAACCCCGTTTGAAAGGGCGTTGTTGATTGTTAAGGATACAAAAAGGAAGTCCAACTGTGAAGACAGATAAGGTCATACTAAATCTTTTACCTTTGAGACAGCCCTCGGCTTGCCTTCACAACAAAGAGAAGCAAACCCAATGACGAACCATTACGGTACTTGTGATGCTGGAGCTCAGACCCCCTCACAACAGGGGGTTTTCTATAAAAGTTACACAATTAACTAAACCTGAGGCATCGAATTCTACAGAACGGTTTCACAACAAAAGGCTTGGCAGCACAGGAAGCCAGATGGTGTCATACGTTCATCTTTAGACGGCGTGGTGGTTCAGCTGTGACCCACACAAATGGACCGAAACACGTTCTGACAGGATCTGGCTGTGTCTTCGTTCTTCCTCTCCTCCTTGTAAAAATGTTTCCTTACACAAAAGAGGCTGTTGGATAAACTACAGACACTAATGCAAGACCAGGCATTCCTCCAAAACTAATCAGCAGATGTAATGCCTTTAGGCTAAACGAGTTAAAACAGTCACTGTCTGCTGGTTACTGAATTCTGGAGTTAATTTAATTATTTTAATTTTTTAGAGTACCGTCAGCTGTAAAAAGTTAGAGAGGACCAACTGGGGTTTAAGTCATTTAAGAAAAGTCTCAGCTTTCATAACAAATTACTAAAATTAGGGATGCATGAGATATCGGCATTCATATCAGTATCGGCCGACATTGGTCATATTAATATCCGATATTGATTCCCCACTTTTTAGCTTTAGTTTCTGTTTTGGAAAGGGAGATGGCTGGTTGAGCATCATCTGTTTGATCATGATAGTGATATTGACGGTGAAGTATGGAGCCATGGCAGAGGTCTGGTCGTTTMTTTGCAGCATCAAGAAAAGACCCAAGTGTGTTTGTATATGTAGAATATAATTTGTGTGTTTGTGTCACATCAGTAAATATCGGTTATCGGCCATAACAGCAATAATTATATCTGATATCAATATTGGCTGAAATTCTCATATCAGTGCATCCCCAACTAAAATTAAACTTTATGTCTAATAAAGTCACTTTATGTCTAATATGTCACTTATTTACACAATGTGGGCAAAACACAAAGAGGGGAAGACATTTTTTTGGGAAATTTAATTCATTTGTGTGTCTTCCAGGATGTCACAACAGTAAGCTAAGACACAAGACAAATCCATAAATAAAAAAAAAGTACGACAACTGACGAAACCTGTTGTGATTTAGTACTAAAGTTCATTTGGGGAAAACAAACTCCAACTGTGTTTGAAAAAAAAAAAAAAAACAAAGACACTGATGTTCAGCTTAATTTGTATATTGTTGAGCTATTTGTTCTGGCCAAAAAAGTAAGAAGTGAAACAGGAAAAGCCGGATAGAATATTTTATGCTTATTATCAGTCACAAATTGTGAGGTTAGGTTTTCTCCAACTGTATTTAATCATTCTTATTTCTAAGATGACAATAAGTCACGTGTTCACAAAACGTTCATGCCTATAATAAAACAGTGTCAAAGGCAAACGCCAACATTTTCTCAAGGCAGAAAACATGCAGACAAGACTTTCTGCTTCACAATGCCTTGAACAAACACTCATCTGTAATATTTACAGTCAAATATGGCGAATGTTTTGTCATCAAATGATAAATGAAAGAACCTTGAAGGAAAAGGTGAGCGCATAAAATAAAGACTAGATAAGAGATTTCAGGGTGAAGTGCATAACCCAACACAATTTACAGCTTAAACACTTGTTTTAAAATCTAAAAGGGTAATAAGCCCTGTCCATCCTTTTATTTTGCACTTGGGAAATATTGATCTAAACTGATTTGAGAGATTAAAAAGAGGAGGAAACTGGGGCCAAATAAAATGAATGGTGTACAGCCAGCAGCACAGCTAACCACAAGACACTGACTAAGTCTGGATCCTTCTCAGGGGAAGGTTCCTGCACCTGGACAGTCCAAAACCTGCTGTGACACCGAGCTGAAGCTGTCCAATCCATGCTTTCATTGGTCGGGCCTGACATTTATTAATTAGTTTGTTTGTTTTTTTAATTCAGCATACCTTGCCCTGCAGCATGCCCCTGTGCTCCCACGTAGTGAGCTAAAAATACAGATTTGGATGAATGAATGAGCAGAGAAAAAAAAAAAAACATGCAGGGTGGGACTTTTTTCCATCTTCCTGACTGGTTCCTGAAACCTGAAGCCTTCATTTACAAAACAGCATTTATGCAAAGTGAACTGGCTTCAATGACGTCGCATAAAAAGCATCATCCCGAAAAAAGAAAACTTTATATTATTTGAAAGTTTAAAATGAACATACCGAGGGTAAGGCAGGCTGCGTCCAGAAGGATGAGCAGGATTTCGGGGGATTCAAACATGTTATCGTCTCGTCTCCTCGCTCTGTTCGTGAAAAATGTCCAATCCGGCCTGTCCCGGTGTGTTGGAGAGACACACGTGGGTCTCTCTAGTCCAGCACAAAGTTAAAACAAACCAGTGTCATGATTTGTCACATGGGAAGGGTCCGAGATGCTAAACCTAACCGGAGGAGTCTTTCAGGGATTTCTTTCTTTTTTTTTTTTTCTTTTACCGGGGATAAAATGTCGTCTAACTCGACTAAAAAGGTGAAACTAATCTAAAAACAGCAGCACACACACGGAGGAAGGACCGCTCACCCGGCCAATGGCTCAGCGACCATCATAACAGCGGGATTTCTTCAGCTCACAAACCGTCCTGTCAGCAGAGAAAGACATTACAACTCACGAGACACGAGCACGAGCGCTGCTTCATCAGACTGATTAGTGCTGCCTTCATGGATGACTGGGAAACCGCAAACACGATCAAATTCGGTGTCTTCATGGAGTAAATTTAATTATTTAACTGACCTATCTGACAACTAAGGATGTCATATAAATTGAATAATAAAATATGTTTTTTTTTCCTTTCTCTCTTTGACAACTACAATCAGATAAAAATCTCCGAAATGTCTGTGCAGTCCAGTCGGTAACAATTGCTAAATTTCCGAGTTTTACTTGAAGGCGTCAGTGGGCTGATTCAGATCTGCTCCTCCCTCCTGCTTGATCACAGTTTCACTTTCTATTAATGGAGGAGATTAAACCATGCAGATTAATAATCTGATGGTTGTTAACAGTGTTCAACATTTCTTCCGGCGGGCAGACTTTTGAAATGGTACATAATGGTCATGTGAGCTCATTGTGATGAATATTTATTTTTATTTATTGATTTATTCATTTCATTTCTTTAAAAAACAAAACAAAATTTATGTACAATAAAAAACACAAATCACAAATAAAATGAAAGGTGACAGAAAGAAGAAAAAATCTTATAATATCTGCACCTTTTTTCTCAAAAAATAAATTTAAACAATAATGATCTACAAACAAAAACTAAAAAAAAAACTCAAATCCTTATTAAATAGTATTTCATATGAATACACATTACATTGTTTCATATTTCTTTAACAAGATGACCTTTATCATTCTCTTAAACATAAATATTGTTCTGGCATTTTAATTAAGTTAAGGCTGAAGATATAAACTAGGATGTTTAATTAGTTTATTAGAACTCCAGAAAGGGAGGAAGTTTTGAACCATACAGAATCAGATTTCTTTGAGTTTGATGTATATAAATGAAGTTTTTTCCTAATACAAACCAAATATTTGATGAGTAGGAAGGGTAAGAGACAAATCTAGACACTTTTGTGTTATGATTTATATTTTTTTACAGTTTAATTGAGGTTATCCGTGTCTTTGTAAAAGTATTTTTTTATTCATTTTGTTCCTTTTTCCTCATCAGTTTCCTTCCTRTATGTTTYAACTTGCCTTGTTTGTTTTTRCATATTTTCTCTCAAATGCAGGCTATTCTTGTCCTTCTTGTCTCTGTTCATCTGTTATCTTTCCCCTGCAGACCAGCTGAAAATCAGTGAGGACATGAGAGGAGACAAAGCTCAATTTACTTACTAAAAAAGAGTTAATGTGGTGTTGAGATAATTATGGATTATTTAAATTTAAATGCAACAACAAACCAGTTGGGTCAAGCACACAGCTCATAATACTTGTATTCCACTGTTAAAATGCTGATTTATTTCGTAACAATAAGTTAAAAAAAGGTTTTCTGAGATACGGTGAAAGGAAAAAAAACAAAGATGAAAACAATTTTAAAATAGTTTTATGTTTCACTATTTAACAACTTTAAAATAACAAAAACAGATGGAAATTAGTGTAAGATAAATCTGCTGCAAAGTATCTTTTTAATGTTTTATTTGCACATTGTCCCTGTTTTAAATAAAGGAATTCAAAAAAATAAACATGTCTTAAATGTATTTTAGTTCTGTTGTTGTAAAATGTGATTTTATTGTTTCACAATTTTGTCCCACAGTTGTGTTTTCTAATATATAGTTTATTTTCTGTTGTGTTTTATAATTTGTTGCTATTTTATTGTTCGGTTTTGTAAAAATACTGTTTTCTATAAAAGTTGTGCATGTTTTGTGACTTTTTTTTTGCAGATTAGTTTGTAAAAGTTTAACATTTGCTTAATTAAGAAAACATTCACAGAATAATTGCTTTATTGAAGTATTCTTACAAAACTGAACAAAAATTTCAACATAAAATAAATGTGAATTCCATCAAAATTAAAAAGTTGTTTTCACATCAGGACATTTTTTTCGTGCCCAAAAACAAAAACATTTTTCTTCTGTGACAAAAATCAAAGTCTAAATCATAAAACAATTCATGTAACCTGAACCCTAAACTCYTCAGTCCTCATCAGATCTGCTCACTCTTCTGTTTCTGGGAGTTCAGGTGATTTTCAATCTCCTGTTTGAAGAAGAGCGCCCCCAGCTGGCCGTGTGAGGCTTCGCTCATGGCTTTGGTCTGCATGCACATCTGATATTTGTCTGGGGGAAGCTCGTCTGCACAGCTCTTCTGGTGCCACAGGTGGAATAGACCGCGAGCCGGGGCCCGGACCACCATCAGCTTACTGTGAAGGTACTTCCTGTACAGGTGCACGTCCTCCAGACCCCAGCCTTTAATGCTGCGGTCAAACCCACCTGATGGGACACAGACAGGCCAATAAATCTCACAGCTGCGTGCAGAATCACTGAATATTCTCTGAGTTATAATAAAATCAAACATCACGTGAAGATTAAACCATTGRAAAGGCAGAACAAATTACAGGTATGAGTAAGTTAATATGAAGTAAAGATTCAATCTGCTTTATCATATGAGTTCATCATCAAATCTGCTTTGGATCAACCTATTTGGAAAGCACAACTTTTAAAAAGAACAAAATTAGACAAAAGCATTACCGATGTTGATAAAATCTGATCTGTACTGGCAGGTCATGCCGAACCCAAAGTCCCTCCAGAATCCACTTTCCTTCCTTATCACCTGAAACAGAAGGAGCAGCAGAAATCCTTTATATCTACCTGAATCATTTTTTTTTATCCAATGGAGGTTAAGTTTTTTATTATTTATTTTTACCAACCAGTTGCTGTTGAAGGGGAGGTGGGAGTGTTTGATTGCTGTAGATGACAGATGGGTTGTACTGACTGAAGAGCACAGGGTAGTACACTTTCTTTCCTGAAAAAACCCAAAATGCACAAGAAAAAGCTGAATAGATGCAACAAACGTACCTGGTGTGGTGYGATGTTTTAAGTTGCAGCAGGAAAAATCCTCACTTTAGAAAGTTTTCTTAAAAGATGAAAAAAAAATATTTTTTTGATGAAAACTACACTAACTAATCTCAACTATTTACTGATTTTCCTCACCAGGTTCTGTGTTCAGACGACAGGACGTCAGGAAGTCGGCGGTGAAGTGGACGTCCACGTCGCAGAAGAAGAGCAGGACGTTCTGTCGTTGCCTCCAAGCCCTGACGCCCACTTCCAGGCCTCGGCCTCGAGAAAACTCCTCATTCATCTGGATCAGAGTGAAGCTCCTGAACCGGGTCTCCCTGTGAAACAAAACAGACCCTTTACTCAGGGACAGAGCCAGGGGGTAGCCAGGGGTGGCCATGGCCACCACAGACAAATCTTTGGCCACCACATTGTCCACCCTGCTGTACACACCCCTTACACAGTGAAACAAACTTTAGGGGTGAAGAAAGACCGTCCATCATTAAACAGAGGTGGAGGCCTCAGCTTTCAGTTGTCTCCCTCCTACAGTGCTGCTATTGCCAGTATCACTCCACCCCTGTTAACAATAGGTGTTAATTAGGTGTCAATCGTAGCCATGTGATTTGATCATCAGTCACATGGAGGCAGTGCTTAAAAGCCTGAATTTTGCCTGAAACTCTCAGACTGAAGAAGTCTCTTGGAGGAGAGACGAAACGTTTCATTAAAGAAGAACCCGTCCAGAAGACCTATACAATTTATTTCTTTTTGATTTTTTACCTGGATTACTGAGATGCATCAGGACATTTAGGGGTGTAATAATCCTCCTTAACAGTTGGTGGCAGTGTTTAACAGTTTGAAACATCACAAAGCTCTATCACTGAAGAAGAATAATGACAAGGAMGTGATGATTTTCTTTACATACAGAACATATGCCTATGTAATCTGACTTATGGTGTCAACTTTTGGACTTATGGTGACAAATGTTTTTTATTTTATTTTATTTTTTCATTTTATGTTCTGAAGGCTGCATGATTCTCTGTCCCTTCTGGTTATGAGTAGGCCCATCACTAAATCAGAAAAAGGGAAGCACCATTGGTGGTTATCAATGTTGCACCTGTTCATGGGGTAAAATTATTGATATTAGCTTTAAACATGCAGTTGAGGGTCATCATTATTTGGCACAATGACATGTGTTACAATTAAAAATAAATCAATAATCAATATAAAAGTAAAAAGCACCCCTAAAGTCATTAGATATGATAAATTGTGTCACATTAATTAATCTTATCTCAGCTAAAGCAGTGTTTATAACAGGATGGAATTAGTTTAATCAAGAATCTGTCTCTGAAATAATTATTAAATCAACTGTTTATTTATGCAGGTAAAAGTTTGTTTAAATTAGTGCACCAGAATGCAGGAAATGACGTCTATTTCATTCAAAAATTTTCTGGGGGAGGACCCCTAGACCCCCACAACAGTGTGTCCCCACACTTTCAAAATGGTTCTGACGCCCATGTTTATAAGGTAGTCACTGCCTGTGTAGGGACATAAGGAAATGACAAAAGCACAAATAGAAACTTTTAAATAAATAAAAAAATATGTGATTTTCCTGTCCACCCCTGTGTGAGTAGTGGTCCCAGTCAGGCCCCCAGACCCCCCAACAGTGTGTCCCCACACTTTCAAAATGGTTCTGACGCCCATGTTTATAAGGTAGTCACTGCCTGTATAGGGACATAAGGAAATGACAAAAGCACAAATAGAAACTTTTAAATAAATAAAAAATGATGTAATTTTCCTGTCCACCCCTGTGTGAGTAGTGGTCCCAGTCAGGCCACCCCTGAGAAAAAAGTCTGACTCCACCACTGCCTTTACTAAACAGAACTCTTTAGACTGAACGATCCAGGTGAAATGTGCTGCTAAGATATGTTCATGATGATTTATGACAAACATGTTTGTAGTTAAAGTTGTATTTTTTYAGCTTCCCTTCAGCTGAAAGTGCAGTTAAATGTGGTTCTGTACCTGGTGGTCTGGTCCAGCACAGCCTTCACCTGRTCGATCTGATCTCGACCAAAGTAGACCACAGTGAGGTGGACCCTGCCGTCCTGTCGGATGCACACTTCCCTAAACCAAAAACGTAAACAAATAAGCATTTATAAACATAAACCACGTGTCAACAAGGGCTTTTAGATGGGCACATTTTGACCACTAGTCTGAGATCTTTATCATACAAAAATATATAAAGAGAGAATTACCTGTTTCTGGTTGTGTTTATTTGGGCTTAAAACTTAAAAATATTCATAAAAATGCTCCTAGTTTTGAACCCAAAGTCATTTTTCTCATTTTGAAACTTGTGTGTGTGTTTGTTTCAAAAATGCAAATTAAAAAACTTTTTTTTTTTTGCTGTTAGTGTGATTACATTTATCTAAAACAACAAGAATGTTTATTTGAACAGTTCCTCCAAACTCACCTGAAGTTGCTGATGAACTGCTTGAACGCCTCCACCCTCTTGGACAGCGGCACGATAACGTTGATGGTGATGCTGTGTGTGTTCACACTCTCACTCTTCACCTTCATCACGGGACCGAAGGGCCTGAAGAGGACGAGCTGGGTGAAGCTCTGAGGGCCGTCACCTTTAAACATCAGCTCGTAGACGCTGCCTCTGTCCCGTTCTGTGCGAGTCAGCCCTGAAACAAAGAGGAGAACATCACAGCTCCCAAACTGGAAGCTCAAACTGAGGTTTCAGGACAAAAAAAAAAACAGGTAAACTGGTTCATAACTGAGTTATTGTGTTAAAGGAAGCTAAATAAAAGTGTTGAACATGTCTACGCTGCAAAAACTGTCCATCTTACCAAGTTTTAAAATCTTATATCCAGCCAAAAAGTCATTTTGATCTTGATTTGAGACTGATTTACTAAACAAGAACTGATTGTGTAAGAATAATGATCTTGTTTTCAGAATGTGTAAGATTATTTGTTAAAAAAAATTGTATAGGTCTTCTGGACGGGTTCTTCTCTAATGAAACGTTTCGTCTCTCCTCCAAGAGACTTCTTCAGTCTGAGAGTTTCAGGCAAAATTCAGGCTTTTAAGCCCTGCCTCCATGTGACTGATACTCACATCACATGGCTATCGTTGACACCTAATTAACACCTATTGTTAACAGGGGGTGGAGTGATACTGGTAATAGCCGCGCTGTAGGAGGGGGACAACTGAAAATGGAGGCCTCCACCTCTGTTTAATGATGGACGGTCTTTCTTCACAAAAATGGCTTCTTTTACTCCTCTCTCAAACCAACGTTCCTCTCYATCAAGAATGAGAACATCCTCATCTCTGAAAGAGTGACCGCTGGCCTGTAAATGAGTGAAAACTGCAGAGTTCTGGCCATTAGATGTAGCTCGTCTGTGTTGGGACATTCTTTTGAACAGTGGCTGCTTTGTTTCCCCGATGTATAACTGGTCGCAGTCCTCCTGGCACTTAACAGCATATACAATGTTATACATCGGGGAAACAAAGCAACCACTGTTCAAAAGAATGTCCCAACACAGACGAGCTACATCTAATGGCCAGAACTCTGCAGTTTTCACTCATTTACAGGCCAGCGGTCACTCTTTCAGAGATGAGGATGTTCTCATTCTTGATAGAGAGGAACATTGGTTTGAGAGAGGAGTAAAAGAAGCCATTTTTGTGAAGAAAGACCGTCCATCATTAAACAGAGGTGGAGGCCTCCGTTTTCAGTTGTCTCCCTCCTACAGTGCTGCTATTGCCAGTATCACTCCACCCCCTGTTAACAATAGGTGTTAATTAGGTGTCAACGATAGCCATGTGATGTGAGTATCAGTCACATGGAGGCAGKGCTTAAAAGCCTGAATTTTGCCTGAAACTCTCAGACTGAAGAAGTCTCTTGGAGGAGAGACGAAACGTTTCATCAGAGAAGAACCCGTCCAGAAGACCTATACAATTTTTTTCTTTTTGATTTTTTACCTGGATTACTGAGATGCATCAGGACAAGATTATTTGTCGGTAGTCTGAAAATTTGACTCAAATTAAGTCAAAATTTCTGCCAATGGAGTAAGAAAATTTTACCTGGTAAGATTCTTGTAATAAGAAAAATTGAGTCAAATCAAGTATTTCAAGAATCTTACCAAGTAAAATTTTCTTACTCCATTGGCAGAAATTTTGACTTAATTTGAGTCAAATTTTCAGACTAACGACAAATAATACACATTCTGAAAACAAGATTATTATTCTTACATAATCAGTTCTTGTTTAGTAAATCAGTCTCAAAACAMGATCAAAAAGACTTTTTGGCTG